TTTTTTTTTTTTTTTTTTTCATAAGTTTGTTTTAATCTTCTGTCAACAAGATTGTCACAAAATTAATATTATGTGCTTTTGATGTGATAGTGTGCTCAAGCAGATCAAGTGTAATAATCAGGGCTTGGATTCTTTTAATGTAGAAATTCTTTGAAAATGATTTAAAAATAAGGGGAAAATGACATAATTTTTTTTAAATACTCAAAAATTTATATGAAATGGTTTATTCAATGAATTTTTGAATTTAGAATAAATATAGTCTTTATTTTAGAAGGAAATGTAAGCCTTAGCTATAATCATCTAGAATAGAGGAAAAATACCTTTTGGAGGCAGAAGAATGATATATAGCTGATTTTTTTAAAGAAAATAATATACAATAATAAGTATTGTGTGTAAGGGGAATTGTTTTTACCTCGTTCAGAATGAGTGTTGCAATAAATGACTGTGATCATGTACAGATTGTTAAATGAGAATGAACACTGATTGTCTGGCACTAGGTTCTTGAATGTTAAAAAGCTTGTTTCCTCATCAACTGATGAAACAGGAGTATACTTCAAGTGTGGTAAATCATTGAACTTTAATTCCTCTTGGATGCCATTCATTACAAAATCTAACACTCTACTAATGGAGCACAATACTTTATATCCAGAATTTTTGTCAAGAACATGCTAAGTTTTTTCTCACAGTGGCTTACCAACATCACCACACACTTTTTGCAACATGTCTTCAGTTCTTACTAAATCTGTCATGTTTTCTAAAGGCACATCTCTCTCCAGAAGACAGGTAATTGTGGTCAACAAGGAGCCACTACTAGATTTGGCTACATTAGTAGGCAAGCATTCCCTCCATATCTCTATCTATTTGGACAGAGAAGCAATTCCTCAGTTCTATTTTTCTGTTGTGACCACTTTGTATTATCCTTGCATCTTGTGCATTGAGTGAGTTGTTTACATTTTTCACTATTTGTAAATGGGCGAAGTAGTGCACAGGCCACTTGCCCCATCACTTAATAATAGACTGCGGTGGTAGCGGAATGCTAGGAGCTTGTGATTTGAAAAGTTTTTCTGTGTGATGGAGCCTTAACAAACCTAATCTTTGTGATAGACACAAGTTTGTCAACTTTGGGAAAATTCACTCTTAACTTCTTACGCCGCTCTCTGACAAGCTTGAACCAGATAAGTCACATGTAGCATCTTGGGTGATATTCTTTAATTGCTGTGTCAGTTTTAACAATGTAACCACGTCAGTCACGAAGAACAGAACACCTTCATGTCTCATGCCCTTGCGCACATGTTCTTTGATTTTTCACATAGTCGACATATAGTCAAATGGTTAACAGCCTACAAAACTTCCATAGTCGGCAAGTACATTTTTCTGAGTTTTCTATTTCCAACGTCCCAGCAATTACAATGTTGGTGTAATGGCTTTCTGGGTGTCATTGTAAATTCATGAAACATTTACTAACAAAAAACACGAAAAGGAAACAAAATGTCTAAGAGTGACTCAAAGTTTAAAAAAAATTGAAACCTGAAAATTGAAAAGGTCAAAAAAATTACCTAAGAACTATACATTTCTATCACCTATGGATCATGATAAACATTCTTTTACAAGTTAGCTATGTCTAGAATGCACCTATGAGAAGATCACATGTCATCAGAATCCGAACCCTGGTAATAGTAAATCAGGGCTTCAGAAACTAACTTTATAAGTATTTATAAGTAAATTATTACATACTATTAACATGCCTTTTAAAGTGACTTGTGTTTTCTGTAAATGAACATAACTATTGATTTCACATCCCTAGTATGATATAATAATAATAATAATAATAATAATAATAATAATATATTGTTATTATTATTATTATTATTATTATTATTATTATTATTGAGTCACAGATACAATTACAATCGTGTATGATGAGTCAATAGATGCCTTGGGTGGAAAGACGAAGTTATATACTGTTCGGAGCAAACAAAGGCGCCATTCAGCATTTGCTCAAAGGACAGGGAAACTGACAAAACGCTAATCGAGATGGGTATTGGCCTAGCAAATACAACTACTTGTTTACATTAGATTAAGATATTAATACAGTAGAATAAATTATCTGCTAATTAATTAACATTTCAATATGATATTTTTAATGCTACTAGCTTATAATAATTATATAATAATATTATTAATATCTTATGACAATTATAGTAATAAATATTTATAATGCAGAACTACCACCAATAGACATAACCTCAAATCCGAACCACTACTGACCGATACGCACCCCAATCACACTCCTAGCACAGTAAATTACTAACGAAGAACGTAAACTATACGACACCAAGGACCTCTATAACTGTATTGACTTACGACTAATAGTCAAGTAATTATACTATTATGTTTGCAACTTCATTAACAGAGATTTTTGATGGCCGATCCGGTGGCCGAGATCGCTAAGGCAGTTGTGGCCGTAGCGATCTCGTACGCGAATCGCCTGGGTTCGAGTCCCGCCTCGAGGGCATGTTGTATTATTTCTGTCTGTTCACGCCGAAATAAAGAATTTCCAACGACTCAAGTGTGTCCAATGTGGCCGTATCAAGTTAATAATAAATAATATCATATAATAAAATAAAACACAATAATCAATAAACCAACAATAATAATAACAATAATAATAATACAAGATTTAATAATAACAATAATAATAATACAGACTAATAATAATAACAAATAATAATAATAATAAATTAAATGGGTGAGGAGGCAATTCTTTGACAGTTTTATCTTCTTCTCTTTCTATTCTACTTCTTTTTCACAAGGATTGTGATATGCCAGTTCTTTTTCTTTGCTTCAGCTTGAAACTATTTGCATGAAACAGAAAGTCTTAATAGGAATAAGAAAAATTCTTATTTATTTATATTTTTTAAGGAAATGTTGTAATTGAAAATTCCATTTACCAATGTTAGACATCGTTGATAGCCAGGAAAGCTTTCAATTTACTTTATAAATGTAGAATTGTTGTTATGTCTTTTGATATCATTGCTAGATTTGTTGTAAAGTTGTAATGCCCTCTATTAGGGTACTTTTTTGATAAGTGTAGTTTTACAGAGGTGGGAACATGTAGGTTATCCTATGACAGGTTGGCAGTAATGTGACATCAGAATTTAAAGTAAACGTGTGTACTTTGTTTTCCATGAGAATTTTTCTTTGTGAAGACCACTATTTCAAATATGTACATGGCGTTGGTAGAGAAGATCCTTTAGTTTATTAAACAAGGGTTTCAAACGATCCAGCTTATGAAGGTGCTGGTCATTGTTCGCAGTATTCTTTTTTGGAATATAAAAATGGGTTCGCGAGTGCTTTCAGGGGCATTTTCCCAAAATATTTATTCCATAATTTTAGGTGTGAGTGCACATTTGCAAAATACATTGTTCGAAGTGTCTCAATGTTGGAGCTTGACCTGACTATAGAGAGGACAAAGGAAAATATATTGTTGGGTGTAATATACATTAATATCCAATCGATACTTGAGTGCAACGGCCTGCTAAAAGTAATACAGAGAAAATGGGAGTTCCCTGGAAATGTAGGGAAAATGCAGAGGAAACATTCAGGTGATTGGGGCTACCTTGAATGGGCGTGTTTCTCTCCTGGTCGGGGTCTGCTGCTCAGGTGATGACATTAAAGGTTGTATAGTGATTTTTTTTTGTTCCTTGTGTGTTACGTGAAAGGAATAACTTTATAAAAATTCAGAGCATATTGATTGGGCAAGATAAAAAAATGCAAATTTTACTGTAATATGCCACCTGCCATGACAATACCATAGCTGGTAGATCATTGTTTGCATCAGGACTTCTCTAAACGCAAAAAATAAACCAAAGCTTAAAGAAATTGAAGTGGTTAGAGTAAAGCTTTTTCATACTATTCAATAGATATAAAGAATGTGAAGTTCCAGCTGAGAAAGCAAGTTGCTATTGAAAAGCCTGTGATTTCGTGAAGCCCATCATTATATCCAAGTGACTCATTGACTTTGAACATTGGCATTGACATTGAAAACTATTAATCTTTCTTGCAAATAATTTTTTCTTCTTTTCTTTCTTTTTCCTTCTTTTTTTATTCTTCATGCTTTGTTTTCAATGCATTTGCAGATTTTTATTACATTGATGTGGCTGAATAAATATATTAACAGGAATATATTTTTCATTTTCCATTTTTCAAATTTTTAACATTAGTATAAATTTAAATTTCAAGAGCTGAACACTTTTATGAGAATTATTCAATTTCATGTTGGGAGACCTCTGCATTCCAGAATGAAAGTCTGTTAAAGTCATTTGTGTCCCTATGGAGAATTTTACTTCAATAACTTCTGTGTTGTTTTCTCTTTTGACAATTATTCTCTGGTCTGCCTGAATTAATCTCTTGATCCAAATTCAAAAGAGAAATTTTTATTTCATATAATCATATTGGAATTTGATATAACAGAAGATTGGTTTGAAGTCAAGATATTTGTCAAAAGAATAAAATACTTGGTGTGATGTGGAGTGAATGGTGTACTGAATTTTAACATATTGCTAAACTACTTAGATATCTGTGACTGCGGAAGCCCTGGTTTTATTCCTCTTCTTCAGTTAGATTTACATTGTTCATACTGTTCCTGCCCCATCTTTTATGTACACAATTTTCAAAGAAAAGGGAAATTATTATAATTATTATTGTTTTTTTGTTTTTTTATTTTATAAAGGTAACGGAAGACCAGAAACAAATAGTGATAACTCCATCAGAACAGGATATGACGGAATATGATACAGAGTCAGCCGTACAGCATATTGTTTACGGCGAACCTGAAGAGGTAGGTATTTGATTCAAATAATGTTATGTAAGAAGTTCAGTAGAGGTATTATTCTGTGAAAAACATTAAGAGACTTCCCTGATGTTCATTTTTTTTAAAAAACAAAACTGTAAACTTACGCGATAATGAGATTTGCTACTGAAACGTCTCGCAACATTCTTGTGCACCACTGAATTCCCATCTGTGTAAGTCCACCCAATAAGGCAAAAATGACCTCGGACACACTGAGTACACTGACAAAGAAGAGAATGACTGTTTTACTTTTTTTAACCCTGTTCTTCAATTCTTTAAATATCTGAATGTTACTGTAGAAAGAAATGAAATTAATGTATTCTGAGAAATCTCTCTTCATTGGTGACTATGGATTCCACCACAATCTGTCCTTAATAATTCCTGAAACTTATCTATTTTTATCTGAACCTAAAATTAGTACCCCAGTGAGATAAGTCATTAGATGCCTATTATAAGTAATCTTATTATAGTAATCAACCCAATCGGGAAGATACTGAATTAGCAGTAATTTCTATTGTTCTGCTTCGTGTGGTAATTTTCATAGTGTTACAGGAAGTTGGGATGTGGATTGATCTATGGCATGAGTCCGGCTATTGACCATGGGTCCACTTAGGTGGTAATATTTACACATACCTTCTAGAAAATCTAATGTGAGCTGAGGAAAAAGTTTCCATAAATGCAGGTGATCGCTTAATTGAGTGACTGTTTAGGTCACTCTCTCTGTTCAGAGAGAGAGAGAGAGAGAGAGTTACAGAAATTTATTTTTGGAAGGCTTATACTAAGACTCCAAATCATGTCTGTAAGCTCAGCAACTACATATCACTTAAAATTGTAAAGATTCAAATTGGTTTGATTTTTGATAATTCAGTCTATAAGGCACTTGCATTGTTTCATAAAGTGTGAGCCCCTGAAGCAGTATTGGAACTTGGATTTTCTTACCTATTATTACTACTTATGTTTTAAGGATATGCTACCAAAAAGGATTTTTTGTCACCATAAGCAATAAAAAATTTAAAACCGATCAGATTTTTGTAATGTGGTGCTATTAGGTATGTACTATGTTGGTGATTTGGGACAAGCTACAGGAGCTGAATAATTAAAGCACTATGAAGTTCAACTATGAAGTATAACATCAGTTATATAGTATAATGAAATATTTTATGGAAAGAGGGGGGGAGAAAAAAGAAGAAAAATTAATGAAGAACATGTTATCATGCAAATTTATATGGTAGAAATAAAATAAATGATAAAAGGCTGTAATAAAAATGACAGCCAGGGGTGGACAACTCTGAAGATATAAGAAAGAACTACCTGCTTCCATGACACAGGAATAGAAGATGCCTGTAGAGGTGGGATGCATGCCCCTAGTGTGATTTCTGGGAACGTAGTGGCCTACCTAATCTTTGATAAACTTGCTCTTGGATTCAGAGAATGTAGTGTGTTAAAACATATATCAGAGGAACTAAAATTCACTCTCTCATGAGACATGGCAACAACTGTCAAAAGCACAAAATTTCGCCTCATGGTGCCTTCAGTCTCTAAAATTGCTTTGTTGCCCCCAGAGGACCGTGATTTAAAAACCTATTCACGATAATAAGAGAAAATTTGAAGTAGAAAACAAATTAATTTAGTGTTAAAGAAATTAAATTGTTTCTTACACTATTCATTATAATGAATAATTAAGGTGGGAGTTTGATTACATCCCATAATTTTTTACTGTTTACGCCTAGTTTAAGTAATAAATTCCAGCTAATAAATGTCGCTTAAATAAATATAAACTATGAAAATTTTGACTTAGTCTGACTTAACAGAATTTCATGTGATGACTCAATATTTGATGATTGCATAATTGCACTGATAAGCATTAACTAGAAATTCCTGTGTGATAAATTCACATGAAGTTAAATATATTTCTAATCTCATAGACCTCTAGTCACAATTTTCTTTTATTTTCCCTGAATTGTTTCTTCTTTTAAAGAACAGAAATGTAATGGCAATATTGTTACATCATTTTGATGCGACGATCCATTAAAAAAAATAATCACTACATGGCCCGAGCAAAAGCCACAGTGCGGGAAAAAAAAAATCAGTGTTGGGAAAGAAATAGCTTTTTGGAAAACATGTTGACAATTCTGGACATGACCTTGAGTACTTCAAAAAACCTGAATCGTATATACAAATTGTAGTTGTAGTAGGAAAAATGGTACTCATAAATAATGTTATTTCAAGATCTGTCTTTGAACAGTAGTATTACATTAAAAAAATAAATTTGTATCTTGGATATTGTAGTTGTAGCAAGACTGAAAAAATTTGAACTTTCGCGATTTTTCAAAATCAGTGATTATCATGAAAATGGGACCTGCACCATTTTATTGAGCAATGTTTCTTTCATATCCAATCATTGCCATTGCCATTGACATCAACAACTTTAATACAGCAATGAGAATGATATAATGATTGGGTATGTACTCATTGCACCTACAGTTTTTGCAAATTGTTAATAGAACAAATTATTGATGACCTTAATTTAGAATTAAGTTTGATCGACTTAACATACTTTGTGTTTTAAATTGTAACTTTTGAAATATTTTTTCCCATACTGAATGTTTTTTCTGTTCCTTAAGTGTTTGACATGAGTAGAAACTCAAAATAGGATCAGAATGTGTCTGTGTGGAATGGAGATGTTTATGAATGTAATTACATTTCAGTTAATGTAAAGTTCATGTACAGTAATAAGTTGTTTATTAATACAACAGATATCAATTTATAATAAATATTATCAATACTCTCTTTTGACCAAGTACATTTAGTCTCCAGTCCTTAGACTTAAGTTTTAGTATGATTGGAATCCTTGTTTGTGATATCCAAGCCCTTATAATGCAGTATAGAGTAAATTATATGAATAAACAGCAAGATAGGACGCTCTACATATTAATCAGATAATTGACATTTTCACGATAATCTTATTAATCACAACAGAGTGCAGTATCAAAAATACTTATTTAAAATACCTATTTTCGATACTTTTGTATTTTGTGTCAGAAATGCTATTTAAATATGTATTTTGTATTTGTATTCCAAAATATTTCTGATAGTGTTTTGAATTTTCAAAATACGAAAATACTTTTTATTCATCTGCCCTTGGAAAATTTTAATTTCAATATGCAGCCAAACTTGGAAAACGCAAACGTAAATAACATACATTGTTGATATTTTGAAGCAAATTTTCATTCACTGCAGCAATATTTAAAAGAACATTTGTGACAACTAAAATGTTTGTTAATAAAAAAAATGTATTACTAGAGGCACTTTGAGATATTGATTAACAGATTTTGGAGACCACTTCAGACATTATATTGTCACATTGTGCATCACCGCCTGTCAGGAAGGTGGTTGTGCGGACTAGTTAAAAGCTTGTGCTTGCGTGTTATCTTACGATATGAGTGTAAAAATTGTTATTCTAGTTGGATCATATTTCACTGTTATTGAAGAGTTAGGTGCGAAATTGGCAATGAAATTTGTAAGCCTGCCAAACAGACAATAATACTTGATTCCTGTAATGCAATCACAAATTGTAAGACACACTTAAAGCAGAAAATCATAAGCAGTAATATTATTCATTTTGAAATGCACACAATGGTGTACAGTAGACTGTGAATTTCACTTATCATTCTATTTACTAGGGAATTTCTTTTCACATTTTAGAAAATTCATCTTGGAATGAGTGAATTTGAGAACTATAAAAATGTGTGGTTCAGAAGATCAATTTCACCTAGGAGGACACGGAACAGCACTGAGAATAGTGATACTAATGTGAAGAAGTTCAAACAAACAAGCTTAAAATCTGATTTCTTCAGGAGCGCAAAAATAAGGAAACAATGAAACAAAATTTGATGATCTTGTTACAAAATTAGATGTTAATGGAATGAGACTCTTATCAATTACAATTATAAGAAGAAATATTAGTGATACAATGGTTGAAAAACTAGTTGTTGAAGGGAAACATGTCCAATTGTATATAATTGTAAGCCACAACCACGTTTTGAAAAATAAATTGTGAAACTGGATCACTATTGGTTGTATTTTGTATTTTCAAAAGTTTTTTAAAATACTGTTTTGTAACATATATTTTTTTTAAAGTATTTTGCCCAACTCTGCTCATTGAAATAATCCTTTCAAGAGAGCAGCATTAAGAACAATGAAATAAAATAAAATTATAATTTTGATAGTTCTGCTCTGCTGTAGTAATAATAATTGCAATGCTGCAACTATTCACAGAACTTCGATAAAAAGTAAATTTTCAATTGCTAACGGGTCATTCCATGGTAACAAACAGGAGTTAAAAATTTAATTAACCTAATATTTTTTCCAATTTCCATTATGTTGTGGAATGGACAGGACAAGAAATGGACATTCACCTTTGTAATTGTTATTAAGATTGCCGTTTCAGTGAAATTTTAAATAGTAACATTCTTATGAATCATCGATTTATTTATACAAATTTTAATTTTCAAAATTTAAATCAAGCTAGTAATTTTTATTTAATGTGCTTGAGTTTTAATTGATTGTGAATGACAGAACAGAATGAACTACTTGTACTTCAACTTGCGTATGAGGGACAACGTGAACTACAGAATAAATTATTTCAGAACAAAAATTATTTTCATGTATTTGACATTTACTTTTTACCTTAATTTTCATCAGGTTTATTTGTAGTTTTTTTTCTCTTAAAATATGTAGACATAGCAAGATCTACATATTTTAAGAGAAAAAACTACAAATAAACCTGATGAAAATTAGTATAATTTACCTAACTCAGATATGCCTGATGTCCTATATTTAGGTGTTTGAATTATTGAGTTAGTTCTTGGTTTTCGAGAGATGGCAGTAGCTCAGATTCCATCTGGAGGCTTCAAATGACCGATACTTGTTTCAACTTGCTCATTTCTGAAGTGGTGTTTTCAGTTGCACAAGCGTGAATTTCTAAA